CTTACTAGCTATGTGACCCTGGGCAAGTCACTTAACACCAATTGCCTCACCAAAAAAAAAAAAAAAAAGAAAAGAAAAGAAAAAAAAATTGTAGAAATTTAGAGGTAAAGATCTTTGAACATAGAACAGAAAATATAAGAACTGTAATATAACTTATAGGTTGTCTAGTCTACCCTTCCCCTAACTGTAGAAATTTAGAGGTAAAGATCTTTGAACAAAGAACAGAAAATATGTATCAGAACTGTAATATAACTTACAGGTTGTCTAGTCTACCCCTCCTGTAATTTCATGGAGAAGGACAAAGAGGAGGTTACTCAGACTTTTACTAACTGTATGACCCTGAACAAGTTATTTCATGTCTATCTGCCTCAGTTTCCTAAACTGAAAAATGGAGCTAATATTAGCACCTACTTTTGAAGCTCAAATGAGATACTTGTTAAGTGCTTAGCACAGTACTGGGCACACAGCAAGCATTCAATAAAGACTTGTTTCCTTCCCACCTTCCTTTCTTCTTCATCTCTCAACTCAAATTGCCTTCCCCCAAAACAGCCTGTCCTCTGGCTTCTGTTTCTCTTCTTCCAATTGCTTTTCCAGATGACTTTGGCCTCCTTCTAGTCAGAAAAAATTTAAGGATGGTTGTAGCACTATAATAGGACATTACCTGAATTAACATTGCCAGGAGAGAGGGGGAGTGTAGGGGGAGAAAGGTGCAGGAGGGAGAAGAGAGAGAGAGAGAGAGAGAGAGAGAGAGAGAGAGAGAGAGAGAGAGAGAGAGAGAGAGAGAGAGAGAGAGAGAGAGAGAGAGAGAGAGAGCTTATACAGGAACACCAGAGAATCCTTTTCCCCCAGATCCCTCCACAATCTCTACTTGATGCCTGAAAATTCCACCATCAAGGATCCAGGCTCTAATTCCAGCTAAAATACAGGTATATATGGAAGAAGGGAAAACAGATCTGTTTGGGGGAAGCCTGAGGGCTCCATCCAATAGTCCCAGTTCTATTGTCCAAAGCCTCACAGAATACTCATCTTTGAATGTATAGCATTTGAAGGTTTATGAGATTCATTATTCAAAACAACCCAGAGATAGACCATCTAAGTATTATTCTCATTCCTTAACAGATGAGGACACAGAGGTTTGGAGATAGCATGTGACTTTCCTGAGATGATATTAGCTATTAAGTGTCAGACAAGGGCCTGAAGGCAAGTCAGCTGGCTGACTCCAGTTTAGGCCCTTTCCATAGTGATCATTTCTCCCCTGATTAACAAGCATTATATGATAACAGGGTCTCTAGTGGAATGACTCCAGATCTGTGTTTCTTCCTGTGCTATTCAACACTTTTTATCAGTGACTTGGATGAAAGCATGGGTGGCAAGCTTATCAAACTTGCAAGCCTCACTCACTACCTCTGTGACCCTGGACAAGTCACTTAACCTCTCTCTGCCTCAGTTTCTTCATCTGTAAAATGGGGTATAATAATAATACAAAGCTGGGAGAGAAAAGTAACAAACTCCAAAAAGACTTTGATAAGTTAGAAAAAGAGGCCAAATCTAATTGAAGGTTTGCAAAGGGCTTTAAAAATATTATCTCATTTTGTCCTCATAATAGTCCTGGAAGATAGGCACCATTATTATCCCCATTTTACAGTTAAGGAAACTGAGGCAGGCAGAGGTTAAGTAACTTGCCCAAGGTCACAGATCTAGTAAGTTTCTGAAGTCAGATTTGAACTCATCTTTTCCTGACTCCAGATTTAGCACTCCACCTCATCATCTTTGTCCTGTATTTCCATTTTTAAAAATCAACTTCATAAGAACAACAAGACTGCAGAGTTGTGGCTAAATATCTGGTTTTCTGAAAAAGATTTGAGGTTTTAGTAAACCATGCCTCAATATAGGACAGCGATAGAACATGACAAGCAGAAAAAGCAAAGGTGCTCGTAGACTGCATTTGGAGAGGTATAATGTCCAAATCTAGGGAGATGATTGCCCCATCATGCTCTACTCTGGTCAGAACACATAGCAAATATCATATTCAGTTCTGGGCATCAGATTGCAAGAAAAATTGACCAACTGGAGGGTATCCAGAAGGGGTCAAGAATGAATTGAAAGAACTAGGGACCATGTCGTAGGATATCTCGAAGAAGGCATGTTTGAAGACCCTTCTGATCCTGAAATCCCATGGTCGTGTAAACCAAGGTTCTTTAATGGCTGTGTCTGGCACCCCCTTCAGCAGTCTGGGGAAGCCTATGGACCCTTCCTCAGAAGAATACTTGCAAATAATTGAAGGAAATGCTAAATGTCATTTAGAGGTAAGTGAAAATAAAGGTGTAATTTTTTCCTATCCATTTTGAGATCACCTAAAATCTATCCATGGCTGTCTTAAGAGTCTGTAGACCTGCTGTTCTATGGAGTGTTTTCTTTAGGCTGAGCATGTCCAATTATTTTAATCATTCTTTAGGGAAGAGAAGAAGACTAGTTAGGGATTGGAGGTTGGGGCTTCAGAATAGCATTCTTTGAGTAGGAAGGCTTGTCATGAGAAGAGAGATTTCACTTGCTCTTCTCAGACTCACAGGGCTAAAGTGGGAACAAGTGGAGAAGCCACAGAGTGGCATAATGAGGTTTTTATGTTAAGAAAAAAACTGTTCCTCATGATGAGTTCTGCCAGAGTTGAATGGGATTCTGGAGACAGGGGCTTCTCTTCCCAAGAGGCCTTTAAAGAGAGCTCGGATGACCACTTCCCCAAGAGGATGGAGAAAGTATTTGTTCTAGGAGAAGTTAGCCCAGATGATCTCTGAGGTTCCTTCCAGTTATGAGACCCCATGATGCTATGCAGCCTTTCCTCCTCCTGGTTCAACGCATTCAGTTTCTTTAACTAGTCCTCATAGGACATGGTTTCCAGATCCCTCTCCCCATGCTGGTCCACCTCCACATCAATCCTCTCTACACTTGTCAAACTCCAACTTGGCAGGAGCTATTGTCTCCTGACCCTAAAGAGCTAATGGCAAATGCTCTCCCCTTTGCATAGCTCTCTAAGGGGAGGTTGGCTAGGAACTAGACAATTCTTAACTATGTACAAGATTCGATGGTATGCAGAGTATCTAGATGCCACAGACTTAGTGACTTAAGAAAGGTGAGAGGAGAAAGAAGTGCAAGCCAATTTGATTTGATTTGTTTCAATTCAACAGTCACTTATTAAGCTCCTATTACTTGCCAACTGGGTGGTGAAGTAGATAATGCACCAGGCCTAGAGTCAGGAGGACCTAAATTGAATTCCAACTTCAAACACTTATTAGCTATGTGACCCTGAGCATGGCACCTAACCCTGTTTGCCTCAGTTTCCTCATCCATAAAATAAGCTGGAGAAGGAAATAGCAAACCTCTCCAATATCTTTGCCATGAAAACCCCAAATGGGATCATGAAAAGTCTAACACGACTGAAATGACTGAACACCAACAATCTGTGAGTAGTGGTAGCTGCCCCCTGGGGACCAACTAGCCAGTTCCAATTGGGCAATGCTGCTATTTCTTCCTCCTCTACTTTCTCCTCCTCCTTCTCTTCCTTCTTTTCCTCCACCTCATCTCAAAGAACTTACATCCTACTGTGAGGGGGATGGGGCAAGGACTCCTTGCTACTCCAAACCCACCCTTTCATCCATCACCCATACCGATCTTCCCACTCCTAAAAATTAAGATCATTATGGACTGGACTTGTCTACATCCCATGCTAACCTCTGACTATGGCTCTATCCAGAGTCATAGCTGGAGTCAAACACACAGTTCTTTAAACCAAGTCACTGAAATTTAAGGTTCACCATGTAAGCTCCTGCCTGACCCCATCTTATTTTTTTCCTCAGGTTATTGTTTCTCCTACACAAGCCTCTGAGTGTCCTGCCATAGACCAATGCCTGGAGTCATTTCCTCCACGGGATAGTGCCAGGGTCTCTGAGTCATGCTTCTTGTCCTGGGCACTGTTTTGTTCTGCTTGCCCCAGGTGCCCAAATTGCTAGTTACAGCTCCAGCTCTCCCTCCAGCTATTGGTGGAAATAGTAAAATGCAGGGGAAGGTGAAAAAAAGCACTCTCCTATTCCATCGCCCTCTTTTGCTTACAACACCTTCCCCCATACTTTTTAGAGAACAACAAAGAAACATACTAAATGTGTAAAGAGTCATCTTATAGAAAAAAGACTGATGTTTTTGTCAAAATTTCAACAAAAGCCTCAGATTGCATGGGGTTCCTTGGAATTTCACAGAGTTTAGGGCAGAAAAAACGAGCTTCTGGGTAAAGAATGGGGACATGGAGTCAGGACTAACTATGAGTACTCATACTAGCTTTGGGGGAGGGAAGTGTGAAATTCAGGACTTGTAGAGAAGCAAGGAGCAGACTTACACGGAGTTGATGCAGGGTCCCAGAGAACAGTAGGGACAGACTCAAAAAGAGGCATGGATGAGATAAGGAGAGAAAAACACCAAATGTGAGGATCTAGGAGAGAAAGGAAATCCCTGTGGCCCTCTGGTTCAATTGGCAACTGTTAGGTTTTCATTTACAGGTAAGCATACTCATAAGTCAAGCAAAGGTAAGCTGGGCACCAGCTGTGCCAGTCAATAAAACCCCTAATACACTTTTCCCTTTGTCCATATGTGCCCAACAGTGAATTAATTGAATGAATTAGTTACATCAAAGATGGCTGGTTTGAGCCTCAGTTATGAAATATGTAAAATGATGGAGTTGGATTCTATCACATCTAAAGTAACTTCCAACTCATGAGCCTTTGAGCCTTTGTTTTCCTTACAGCTACAGAAACTTGGCCTATATCAATGTGATTTTCTTCCCCTCTGCCCAATGGGAAAAGGTCATCATAAAAACAGAAGATACCCAATAGCACTTTACATTGAATTGGGAGAATACAGACCTCAGCAAGTACCACAATGCCATGCTGAAAACCCCTGCAATCTGGTGCATCATTGTCCTGGGAGTCTTCCTATTTTTATGGTATCTGGGAAACATGTCCATAGCCAAGGAAACGAACAGCACATCAGTGACCGTTTTCTTTCTCCTGGGATTCTCAGACCATCCAGAAGTACAAGTCATCCTCTTTGTGACATTCTTAGGAATTTATCTGGTGACTTTAGCCTGGAACCTGAGCCTTATAATCCTGATTCAAATCGACTCTGGTCTCCATACACCCATGTACTTCTTTCTCAGCAATCTGTCCTTCATAGATATCTCCTACTCTTCTACCATTGCCCCCAAGATGCTTTCAGATTTCTGCAAGGAACAGAAGACCATCTCCTTTGTAGGCTGTGCCACCCAGTTTTTTTTCTTTGTTGGCACAGGCTTGACTGAGTGCTGCCTCCTGACTGCCATGGCATGTGACCGCTATGCTGCCATCTCTAACCCACTACTCTACACAGCCATCATGTCCCAGGACCTCTGCACCAAGATGGTAGCTGGAGCTTATGTGGGAGGTTTCCTGAGCTCCCTAATCCAAACAAGCTCCATATTTCAACTAGACTTCTGTGGCCCTAACCTTATCAATCACTTCTTTTGTGACCTCCCCCCAGTCCTAGCTCTCTCCTGTTCAGATACCTTTCTCAGTCAGATGATTAATTTCCTTGTGGTGACTGCTGTTGGGGGGACATCTTTCCTCATCCTCCTCATCTCCTATGGGTACATTGTTGCTGCTGTGCTGAAGATCAACTCTAGTGAAGGCAGATACAAAGCTTTCAACACATGTGCCTCCCACCTAACTGTAGTGACCCTTCTCTATGGAACTGCCCTCTTCATGTATTTCGCCCCAGCTCCAGCTACTCACTAAGCCGTGACAAGGTTGTATCTGTGTTCTATTCAGTGGTGATTCCCATGCTGAATCCCCTCATCTACAGCCTGAGAAACAGTGAAATCAAAGCTGCCCTGAAAAAGGTGCTAGAGAAAAGGTTTTCATAGAGACTTTCTGTATTAGTAAGTTGAAGCCTGTTTCTTATAACTACCAGGGGCTAAATCCTCAATTACCCTTTCTGGACTAGGAGAGCACAAAACTATTCCTATGTGTGTTGGGGAATGTGTTTTTAGGCTAGCATTTGAAGAGTGTATAAAATTAATCTTTGGGAATATGTTGTAGCCTCTCTATTGCGTCTCTCCCTTAGGCTTTGGGTGACTCACAGATTTTATTTTTTGGTGATTATGGGATTCCATGATTACAGCCATATAGCATCACTGGAACAATATTAGCTTTAAACACATGGGCTTTTGTTTCAGGAAAAAATTAGTATTATTAAAAGTACTAAATAATTTCCTAGTATAAAATAGACATTCATTTTGGGCCCAGTTTATCACCCATTTGCCAAATTTGTCCAAGATATATGTACTGCTGTATCAGCTGTAATTGTTGTCTATCCAACTATATTTCGTAGTCTAGATAATAAGAATTCTTCATTCCCTTTTTTTATTTTTCTTCCTGTGTGAATATTTGTGCCACACTCATGGACAACTTCACCGAGTCATTACTTCATGTAGATCACTTAGGAAGTTCTGTAATATTCAAAAAGCAACATGATAAAAATAAGCTTTCAAGGCACTTTACAAATATTTCTTGACTCTCATGACAATCTGAGATGTAGCTACTATTATTATCCCCATGTTACAGATAAGGAAGCTGAGGCAGACAGGTTAAGTGACTTGCCTAGGGTCACATAGCTAGTAAATGTCTGAGGCCAAATTTGAAATTAAGTCTTCTTAACTCCAGTCCCAGTACTCTATTCACAGTGTCACCAAGGATACAAGAAGCAGCCTAAATGACATCATCGAAGAGAATAATGACCTGAAAAGGAGGTGAGCCAGTCGTGCAACAGGGTCAAGGATAACAGATTAATTGCCCAAGTGCTCGATTACTTCCATGGAACTTATGTCTCTTCCATCAGTAGACTTAAGGGTCCTCTCCATAAGGAGATCCTGGTGACAGTAGCCTAACCATCAGTCTGAAAGCAAAGGAGTAAGAGATGAGCAAAGCCATCATTACTGCATGGTGAACCTCCAGACGGTACCTACCATAAACAGCCAGCGGTCTTTCAGATCCAGAAACAGGAATACAGTCAAAGAGGATTAGCTAAGATTCTTTAAGAAGATGCTCAACTTCAAGACAGCCATAAAGTCCATGGAGGATCCTTATATTGACGAGAAGAATCCCTTTACCAGGAATGTCTACATCCATGGCTGAATCCTACCTAGCGTGGTGAGCAGGATGACGATATAGCTGGCTTGCATTACACATCCAAGTAAGACTACTTCATCAAGTGTTACAAAAGCATGTTCACACAAGGTGCCCTGCTTGTAAGATATCCAGATTGGGGACATCATGACAGTGGGCAAGTGAGAGACTCTCAGCAAGGCAGTGTATTCCAATGTGCTGAAAAGCACTAAGACATTTGGGGCCAAAATACAGTTCCAAAAGTTCTGGAAGTAAAAGCAGTGACTTGCTTGAGCTCTCCCCCAAACCCCTCCAATACCTGTAAAAAATGGCTCTAAACAAAAGTTCTGAGCTCCTCCTCTTACCAGACAGGTATGTGGGTGGAGAATAGTAGAGGGAAGTTCTAGAGCCTTCTGCCCAGCAGCCCTGCCAATTGAGGCGCAATTTCTCAGAAGAAAAAATAATGAGACACCTAGAATAGGCTTCTTTACTTTTGTGGCACGGGGAAGTTCCATACTATCTGTAGACTACCACCCCCCTCTCGGAATAATGCTTTTACAATTTATAATAAAATAAAAGGCATAGGATTACAAAGGAAACAAATTATTTGAGATATAGTTATCAATTTAAAAACAAGTCTATGGACTCCCTTAAATCTGTCCACAAGTTCTTTTTATGTCTGTGGACCCCAGGTTAAAAACTCCTGACTTAAAGACTCAAGAGTCCACTGGCTGGGCAAAGATGAATGAACTGCATACAGCACTGTGGAAAGAATCTCCATAACAAGGAGATCACAGAGATTTCGAAGACTACACCACACAGTGCTTCCAATGCATGCTCTTTTAAAGAGAAAGCTGCCTTTCTCTTTAATGCCAAAATTTTTCTCATGAAATTATATGGCTATGAATCATGGCGCAGAGAAGAATCAAAATTGCAGCTGACCTACTGAACAAAGAAAAGATACAGGGTCGGAACAAGTGCTCTGCAGCATATTACTAATGAGCCATCATCCAGCATGCACGTGTCAGGAAAAGAGAGTGGCCTAGGTGTGTATGTAGCAAGAATGAGAAGCAAGAGACAGGCAGCTTTAATGTGATGGTGGAAGCCCTGGCATATTTAAAGGACTAGAGAAAGTTATACAGCAGGTTGGGATGATTTTATTTGGACAATTTGGAGACTCAGGAGAACAACTGCCTGGGATGAGAAGCTATAGAAGGGTTATGATATGCTCCCACAGAGGAAGTGCCCACCCCTATGAGATCATGGCACCTTTCTGCACCTCAATTTCCTCAACTGCAAAAGAGGATCACATATTTAGAGTCTGGGAGGATCATTGAAGTTATCTCATAAAACTCCTTAACTTTAAGCTGAGACCAGTAAAAGTGAAGTGACTTACCCAGGATCACACAGGTAGCAGCACATGTAAAATATGAATCCAGGTCTGGATTAAGACTTTAGTGACTAGGGGATAAAGAGTAAGAAATGGAAAAGATCAAAGAGGAGATGGATTACACAGAGAGGGGGACTGTTACCTTGAAGTAGAACTGCACATCCGTGCAGTCCCTCTGGGGAACAAATACACTGACGGACCAGTCCCAGACGAAGAGGAGTAAGCAAAGATCTGGAACCAAAGCTACTGAACCCATTGGAGGAATTCTGGATCAATTAATTAAGCAATCAACCAACAAGAATTCATTAAACACCTGCTGTATTAAGAACCTGGCACTGTGCTAGATCCAAGAATACAAAGAAAAAACAAACGGGCCCTGCCCTCAAGGAGTTTATATTCTATCAGGGACATATACATACAAATATTATTCACACATATGTTATCTAGGCACTATAGACACAATATTTCAAGGGGAAACACAAATAGCTGGGTAGAATCTGGAAAGGTCTTATGAGGAGAGATCACCTGGATTTGAGCTTTGAAGGGAGGGAGGGATTTTAAGAGGTGAGATGAGAGAGTATGTTTCAGGTATATCCTATACAAAAGCATAGACTGAGCTAGAGTATCATGTGTGAGGAACAGCGAGTAATCCAGTGTGGTTGGAGTATAACAAGATAGGAGGGAGTATGACTCGTTTCCTCTCTAAAAATTACCTTAAATGGAGCCTGTCATATATTCAAAGTCTCATTAGCCTGAATACCAACATGGTGACTGAGGAGCCTTTTCTCTGTTGGCGGAGAGGTAGATAGGAGGCAAATCCTGATTTTCACGGGAGAAAACCAGTGAAAGGGACTCAAGCCAATGAACTTGATTGTGCAGAAGTCACCCAGGATTGAACCCATTTGTTGTAATCTCAGAGCCTGGGCTCTGGATCACAGGTTACATTTGAAATCAGGCTGCATTCTGGAAGTAAAGTCATCTTATGTGCATATAATCTTGTCCTGGTGATCAAAACTTCAAGTTTCAATCTGAGATTCTGGTTCAGATTGGGACATTGGGCATATGGGAGTGGAGGAAAGCACCTATGGGATAGGGGCACTAGAAAAAAGCCCTTAGCCAAAATCTCTTGGCAGACAATTGAGGTTCTCTTAGCCTCACCCACTCAGAGTCAGGCGTCAAGATTTGCACTTTAAATACGCAGAACAACTGTATTAGTGTCTTCAGGCATGTCGAGGTGGGCGTTTGCTTGGGCAGAAGATAGAGGTGTCCTGACTAGGTTGACTCTTTTTGGCCTGGACCCATGATTCCATTGATGTAGGGGACTCATGGTGACGAATTCCCTTGACATGTAAAGAGCAAGTGCTTCTCACTGTATCTGCTGTTTTCAAACAGAAACAAAAAATGACAGTGTACTCCAGAAAAAGCTGATGTCGGCACACAAATTGGGAAAAGATGAGAAAGAGAGAGAAAAACCAGGAGGTTGGAAGAAGTGAAAGTGTTTGCCTTGGGGTACACAGCTAGAAAGCTTTCTGGGTCAGGCAGAACTTCCTGACTTCTAGCTGAGTGTTCTGTCTACTATTGTTTATGATGGGGAAAAAAGTAGAAGCTTTCATACATTAAGTATGAAGAAAAAATGTCTATTCTCATGATTATTGAGATAAATACTGAACCTGAGGTCTCAATGGTATGGGGAGCCTCCAGGTGAGGAAGTGTCCTCTCCTAATGCAGGTTAGTATCACTTCTGCAATTCTGTCTTAGAGAGCTGCCTGTGGCACTTAGAGGTTAGACGATGTGCCCGGGATCACACAGTGTGAATTAGAGGTAGGAGCTGAACTCAGGTCTGCCTGGTTCATTCAAGTACTCTTTCTACTATACCACACTGATAGAAACTTAGAAAAACTGGTAGGCACCATTTCAAACAATTACCAAATAAAATAAAAATAAGTTATTAGAAGCTCAGTGAATTAACCTAGCAAGACATATGAAGACATTATATAAACACAACTGTCCAAAAAAAGAAATAATTGAAGAATTTTAGTAGCATGCAAGTAGTAGATGCTTAATAAATGCTTGTTGACTATGGAACTAAATAATTGGATAGATATTCAATGTATATGGTAAGTGATAGTAGTATAGCAAAAGTATAAGGCCCAAATTAAACTTGAGGTTTAATGCTATATCAATCAAAATATCAGTGGTATTATTCACAGAATTAGATAAAATACTAGCTCGATGCATGTGAAAGAATATCAAGGAAAATAGCGGGAAAAGTAGGGATGGGGGGAATTTTCAGTGCTATGTCCCTGATTGAACTATAATTCAGTAATCAACAAAAACAGTTCATACCAGATTTTAAAAATAGAAAAGTAG